GGAATGTTTGAAAGAGCTAAAGTATTATTCTTGAAACACTTTATTTCGGATCTCCATTTCTTTTGTTTTCATTATTTTATATAGGCTATTGGACCTGAGCTTGTCGCCATAGTCATGTCAAGATACAACGTTGACCGCTTGGTTGAAGGTACTTAATAGGTTGGATAATTGGATGGCAATGGGTCATGATAGCAGCTAAGCTTTAGACCTATACCCTGGGCCAGACCCTAGACACCTCGTTATGAGGATTGGTCGATAGGGGCAATGCTCTATCGAAGGAAAGCATGCTTTTTGTTGTGCCATGATGATGCTTTTATGTGACGTCTCAAATATTACAACCTAGACTTTTGTCATAATTGAAGATATTGAGTCACCCTATCTAGCCTGGATCCTTTGGTGGGCAAGACTCCTCTTGACCAAGCCAACGTTGACCTTGTCTGACATGGACTGTAGGTCGGCATCAGATCACCAATCCGAATGGACCTTAAATTGGCTACGACAACATAAGAGCTTATAATAATTTGGGATATAATTATTTGCATGGGACTAAGCGAGTTAGAAAATTGAGCTTGGAAAAACATGTTTGGATTTTACTCTTGGTTCTTATAATTGTCTCAAATTGGTGTTTGCTAATGAAGTCCAATAAATACCCAAGAATCAAGATAATATATCCTTTTTAATGGCCAACATAAAAATATAAGCGAACTTATACATCATTTTCTCATTTGAGGACTATACTCATAGAAGAGCAAGAGCAAGTTTGACTAATTGCCATCTTACTGTAGTTAATTAGTTATTCAGATATCTTCTTTGGTGACTCACCAACAAGACTGAAGATTTTAATATTGTCGTTATTACAAGAAAAAACATATAAAGAGAAACTGCTATGATCTTTTTATGACTTAATTGTTTAAATTGCCTCTTTTATGTAAAAGAGAAACTGCTATTGTTTCTCTAACTTCCTTATTTATACAATATTTTTTAACTTACGATGTACCTGAATTTTTGTTTGTAATAAAATTTACACATCACCATTCTGATTAAAAATTATATATTTTAGTTACATTCCTTGATTTTCCCCATGGGTAAAACCCCTTTATCAATAGAGATACTTCAGTAGAACGATCGCACCATCCACGTGGTGCAACCATTCTATAAGGGAGCCCCTCTTCAACGAGAGGCCCACCACTCACCCCCAAGATGTGTGGACCACCTAGGGATGCCAATGAGTCGATCCGAAATTCTAGGCTCGGGCTCGGCTCGATTAAAATATCTGAGCTTTTTTCTAGGCCCGTGCTGAGCCGAGCAAAAGTTCGGCAAAAAAAATTAGGCTCAACCCGAACTTTTGGCTCGGGCCTTTTCGAGCCGAGCCTGGTCGGCTCGGGATTGGTTTTGTTTGGCAACAACCTGCTGCTGCCTTTTATTTTTTTAATTTTTTTTTTAAATATATGCTCCGAGCCGGCGAGCCACACGGGTCGACTCGAGCTTTGCCCGGCACCTAAAAATGGGGCTCGGTCATCCCGAGCCTCGAGCCGAACCACGGGCTGTTCGAGGCGGCGAGCCCGATTGCCATCTCTAGGGCCACCCATCGAGGTGGCGCCTCGACATTGGACAATCGCATCTATGCAACTGCTCTACTGAAGTATTTCTCCTCTACCAGGGCCATAGTGTCAGTGGCCGTAATGTAGCACAGTTTCCTTTTCCCTAGTGATGGCAACAGGACGGGGCACCCCCATCCTGCCCCCATTTGGCCCAAAGCCCCGCCTTAAACGGGGCGAGTCGGGGACTAGGCAACTTTTTGCCACATTTAAATTTTTTTATTTCTTATTTTTTTTTTACATTTTCAAAATTTCGAACTATGTTATTTTTAGAGAATAAAATACAAATTCAAAATAAATTTTTAACAAGTAAATTGTTTAGAAATAAAATTATTTTTAAATTTTTTCTTAACGAGACGATTCATCCTCACCCTGCTCCGCCAACCCATTCAGGGCGGGGGCTCATCGAGGGGGACGGTATTTTTTGTAGGGGCAGGGCGGTTTTTTTTTTTTTTTCCCTATTTTTCCCCCTGCAACTAGCAATTACAAGGAAACGATAAAAATTTTATTTCCGGTCAAAAATTTTGCCGGGGCGGATTTTTTTCCCCCCCTATTTTTCCATTGCAACTAGCAATTACCAGTAAATGATAAAATTTTTATTTATGGTCAAAAATTTTGCTTTTAATTCTTGTCAAAAGGTTCGTACTTATATTTTTGTGGAAAATTTTCGAGGAACAGCCTGTCAATGCTTTTTCCACGTGAAAAGACCCCACTGATAAGAATAATGCTTCCTTGACGCGTTCCCCTCTCATTTCTTTTCACCATTCTGATTAAAAATTATATATTTTAGTCACATTCCTTGATTTTTCCTTGAGCAACTAGCAATTACCAGGAAAATGAGAGGTAGGTGGGTTTGCTTTTATTTCTGGTCAAGGAGTTCACATTCGAGGACTTGCATTTTTAAGAGAAAATTTTCGAGAAAATTTTGTAAAGACCCCATTGATCAGAATAATGTTTCCTTGATGCTTTCACTTTTCATTTCTTTGCTTGAGCGATTTTTGGCCTTGTAAGATTTTGAGAGATTGGAGATGGCTCATGTTGCTGTTGTTTCTCTTATGCACTCTCTTCAGCAGATCCACCAACATCCAAATCCACATTTGAATCCTTTTAAGCTGCAAGAAA